CCCGTGCAGATCGTGATTAAAAAGCAGTGGTTGCGTCTAATTTCAAATGGCTAGATATTTTTGTTTAAAGCCAGTTTTTTTGTTATAAAGCAAATAGCCAATAAATAAATTTGCTTAAAAATCAGTATCAGTATCAGCTAATTTGCTAGTTAAAAAAAAAAGAAAGAAAAGAAAATCTGAATTCTGAATCAGCTATGATCGGCGCATCACTAATTAAAATACTAAGTAAAAGGCCTCAAATTTGAAGTACAATCTGGAATGTCTTTTTCTATCTATTCTTCAATAGGTAGATCTTGTATTTCATAAAGGCCGAGGTCAGGGATCTTGGGCCTAAAAAGGTTGGTGACCACTGGTGTAGAGTATCAATGCAATACCCATCACATACTATATGTGCACTATATTAGCAGACTTTACTGTGTACTGTATCCCACAGTGCAGTGTGCTCAGCATGACCGATCACTTTGTAATGTCAAGAATGAACAAGAAGTAACATCATTATGATTTTTAGCTCCTCTTTCTTGACTCATCTGCTGAAGCTTAAGATTTTTTTTGGCACAAAATTGGATTAAAATGAGTAGACACCACTTGCTGAATTAAATGTGCAGCGTAGTGAGGTCACGAGACTCAAAAAATCTAGCATACTACATTTGGAAATATTGTTGAAATTTGAATATACTAAGCATTGCATAGGGAATAGTTTTATTTGATTGACATTTTTAAAATTATTTTTGACAGATTTAGTTTTTTAGCAAAAAAAAAAAACAGATTTAAAAAAATATCAAAACTAAATAGTTAAAAAGCATTTTTTAAATGTTATTGTATTTAAATCACAAACAAACTATTTGGGCCTTTTCTTTAATCGTATTCATGTTTATATAGGTAGATAATGCATAATGTTGCCAAAGAGCTTTTGTGTTTTCTGTATGCATGTCGAAGTGTGAATATTTTACGTCCTTCTTCTGGTCAGTATTTGACTCTCTTCAGCGTTTAATCAGCTTTGTCCATCACTAGTTCATTGTAAGTGGTCCTGTGGTGTGAAAGAGTCATTTTTAAAACATCTCTACAAGAAGTCCAGCGTAAAGTCCATTTGAAGTGCTTTTAGGTAGAGCATAGCATGCAAATAAACAAGCATGTAACTTAAGGAACACAAATGAAATCTGTCTGTCTGTCTGTCGTTCAGGCGTTTCTGGAGCGCTACCTGGCCCCGGGCCCCACCATGCAGTACCAGCGAGAGAACGGCAGGGGCCGCCAGTGGACTCTGGTGAGCGAGGAGCCTGTGACCTCCGCGCTGCGGCAGGGACTCGTGTTCTCCCTCCGCCGCCTCGATTTCGCTCTGGTCGTCACGGTGACGCCCCTCCCCTTCCTCAACCTGGGGGAGGAGTTTATCGACCCCAAGAGCCACAAGTTCGTGATGCGGCTCCAGTCAGAGACCTCTGTGTGAGAGAACCACAAGAGACTCCGTCTCAAGGACACAACCACTCGTTTTTTGTCTTTTAGATATCACCGTTTGTATGTTTTTGTTACACTACGTGAACTACTTTGATCTGGAGACTGTCTGGCTAACTCAGCTGTGAATAACGATCAAATACACTTTCACACATCAGTGCTGCACAATACGGACGGTTCACCAGCAATGCCAGGTGTCATGATAACACCACTCTCACAATCACTCGGGAGTGATGGAAACACTACAAGATTGTAGCTGAGCGCTCAAGTGCTTTACTTTTTATGACCGTCGGTCCAGAAAAGCACACGTTTGTAACTCGAGCTCTGTATCTGTCGTGAATGTTTTTAAGACGTCGTATGCATTGCCTTTGCAGTACTTTATTCGAATGAATCGAGGGGCCTTTTATCATACCATCCGTTTACATTGTGTTGAAACGCATTCTGTACGCCAGCAAACTCACGGTGTTTGTGTGGGGTTTTTCTTGTGTAGTGTTTGGTTTGTGCGTGACCAATCAAATGTGACCTTTACACAAAATGCAAAAACATGAATGTGTGCCAAATGTTGTAACTGTGCCTCACACACACAGCTGGACGGATCTCAGACGGATTTCTGGCCCATTTAAGGACAATGAATTAACTAGTCCTTCCCATTTCCCTAACTAGTCTACCAGCTTTGGGTCATTGCCCCCCCCCCTTCATGTATTGTACATAACTCATTCTCCTTTATACGTGTGTGTACGTCAGTGAAAGTGGGATTTGAAATGCTGTAGGTGTTTACGATGATCAGATCTGACTTTCATCTTTAGGGCTGATGCATGCATGTAGGCGATGCAGTTTTGTACTTTGTTTTTTCACTTTGTATAATTTTTGTATGGAAGCTAATCTTTTAACATTTTCCCTTAAAACAATGGTTTGTTGTAAAGAGGTTTGTAGATTTTTGGTTATTGTGTGAAGATCTTTTTGGCAACTGACAACTTTAGAACTAAAAATTTTGCTTTTTTTTTTTTTTTTTTTGTAATAAATGATCAACTCGACTCTACTTTTACAGAGTTTGGCTCGTGCTTATAGAAGTATGTATGAAGTTGAACGTCTGATAACAGGATGTTGGTGGTGTTTGTGGACATGCAGCGCGTGTCTTTTTAAACCAAAGGTTCTCAGCTTTTTTTGGACACCAATTTCCAAAGGCCCCCACAAATAAAAATAGATTTTAAAAACTGTGAATTTCCTTCCAGTTGTTTGTTATTGGTTAAGGATTTAAAAAAAAAAAAATTAAAAATCAGTTTCTATTTGAGAGCTTGGCATATATTCATTATAAAAATGCCCTTTGTGGTTTAAGATTGTTGGGAAGGGTTGAGAGTTGTTGGACGTTGAGATTGAATTAAAATGAGAAATGTCTTGATTTTTGGTTATTTTAACTTATTGCCATTCAGGTGTGAACACATGCACAAGAATACACGCATGCAAACATGAACATGATTCAAAAAGATTAAATGGTAGGTTAAAAAAAAGGTTAAAAAAATAGTTAAACTTGTTCTGTTCGTAGTCAAAAATTACTATATTGGAAACAAATTTCATCTAGAGGAAGTGTTTGGTACTGCGCCGAAACAATCGTACATTTTTGTGATATCAACCTCACATTTGGTACTTTAGATTTTGTTTTTTGTTTTTTTTACTTTTGATTTTTTTTTTTAAATTTTATGGATTTGATAGTAAAACATGCATCTCATTTAAAACTAGAAAATAGTATTTTTTTTTATTTTTTTTTTATTATTACTAGAATTTGTGTTATTTTTTTTTTATTTCACTTATTGAATTATAAGAAATATTTTTTTACCGCCACCTGAGGAGCCCTAGACGGGTATGACAGATGGCGGAAGTGATGGAAAAGTGTTTAAGTTTGAAATATGGATATTGATCTTACAAAAACGCATGGATTTGCTACAGGAGGCCTTTACTCACCCCCCGGAGCCGTGTGAGGGATGTTTTATTACAGATGCGCACACTTTATTTCACTTCTTTTGAACACCAGCACCCGCTTACCCCCACTGAAAGGCTTGGAGGGGCAAGGACAATTTTTAATATAACTCCGACTGGATTCGTCTGAAAGATGAATGTCACATACACCTCGGTGCTTTGAGGGTGAGTAAAACACAGGCTAATTTTCATTTTTGGGTGAACTAACCCTTTAAAGCTTGTTTTAAATTATTTTAAGTAATATTTTTTTATGACATGTTTTTTAACTGGTTTTATTTTAAATCATTTTACGTAATCTTGAGTACCATCTGCTTTAAAAGGAACAGTTTAGCCAAAAAGTAAAAGTAAAACTGTCATAAAAGTCTCTGTATTCCAACTCTTTCATAGTCAAGTTATGTTTGAGAAACATCATGTTCAAACAAGCCATTATTGACTAAAAATCTTCCACTCGGTCACAGATATCGTTTGCTCTGCATCCAAATATGGTTCCTCAAATCAGGGTTGCACTGAATGTCAATGACATCCAACATCATTGTTTTTTATCACTGGCCAAATGACATGTGACGGGTACAGAAAAGGGGAAGATTTCTAGAGAACAGCTCATTGTATGAGCACGACAGATTAACATTTACAGTCATTGCATGTAAAACCGCACTGAACACTGTTTGTGTTCCACAGGTTTGGAACAACATTGGGGTGATTCCTTCATAATTTCAATAAAAACAGATCAGGACTAATGCGATGGATAAAGTTCAAGCTCCAGTTGCACTCGGGAGTGGGGCGGCTGTCGCATAAAAATAACGTGGGTGATGAAGAGGAAGTGTCTCATGTCTCAGGGGATGTTCATGCCGCCTTTTTTAAGCTATGCAAAATATGCTAGAGTCACGACTGACGTAGTAACGCTGTGGTGGCCATCACATATAATGGGAAGGTCTCTTTATTTGCTTCCCTAGGAGTGTTTGTTCAAAAACACCAAAGCTACATCTGTGCTATTTCTTGTACTTTCCACAACTCGTGAAACATCGCTCATCACAAGATAGTTTCTCTCGCCTCACTTCCCATTTCCTTCAAGTGTTTGTAGCATGACTCTGAAGTAGTCAGTTGACTGTGTGTTTGGATAAGGAGTCTCACAATCAGGGGCGGCGTGTAGGAAGTCCAGTGGCTTCAACGACCTCGTTGATTTACGCCGACAAGCCAACGAGAAATGAGTCTATGTGGAATCGTGCTGCTTTGTATTGTGTGCATCCCGCAAGGTGAGTTTACCAGAATTCACTCTTATATCATGCAGTTTGTTGAGCTAATGTTATATAGTTTGGGCCCGTGGGCAAGATTATTGGATCATTTTTGAGAAGAGAAGAAACTGTCTGTCTGTGAGAAACAAAGAAAGCCAACCTACATTCTGCTTCATTGGAAACGGGGTATTTCCCTTTCCTGCGAAGCAACAGAAATATTTCCTCGCACATGTTGGGGTGTTCATGCAAATCAATGGATCTGTGTTTACTTTTGCAGTACGTGGCAGTGAGGAATATATTACTGGTTACAGTGGCCAATCAGTCGTCCTGAAATCTGGAGCCGACCGATCATGGAAACTCGCCAGAGTTCAGTGGTCCATTTATAAGAACACAACATATATCGCAAGTCTAAAGGACGGCGAAGTGACTATATACAAGTTTTGGAGACACCAGGGTCGACTTACGCTCAACACCAGTACGGGAGATTTAACAATCTGTAATGTGACAGTGAACGACAGTATGATATATAACGTGGCTTTGCTCACATCAGATGACAATCGGAAACAAGTTAAAGTTCATCTCACAGTTCAAGGTAAGCAGTCTTCAGTATAGTAAGCAATCTACTAAAGTCTTGCTCAGTGACTGTCGGCCAGACTGAGTAATTGATATAACGTCCTGCAGAACCTCTCCAGAAACCAGACATCCAGAAGACGCTCCATTCCTTCAATGACAGCCGGTGCTACGTTGTCCTCGAGTGCACTGCATCTGGCCAAAATGTGAATTTGTCCTGGACGCCTGATGGCGAGTTCAACGGATCGTATATTTCAGGAATCCCAAACTCCGTCGACTCTTCGTCGGTTCTTTTCGCATCAATTAATGGCAGAATAAACGTGACGTTCAACTGCACTGCCTCCAGTGGTCAACAGACAGTGACCAGGCAAATGACAGTGGGATGTTCAGGTGGGTCTCACCAACAGATTTTCGCTGCTTTAGGATGCTGTACACTACGCATTAAGTCGCGTTCGGGCTTCAATGCACTTCCAAACACAAGCCGGACTCCAATCATTCAGTCCACTTAAACTCCAACCCTGCATTCACACTCAAATTCAATCAACTACCTCATTTTTGAGTCCGTTGCCCACATTTAAAGATCTTTTGATCTGGAAAGCATCTGCTGTGTACAAACATCTGACAGACGTCTATAAGATGTCAGTTTAGCATATATTCTAAATCATAAACATCTTAAAGACATCTAATAGATGTCTATTTGACATCTAAAAGGAAACGTCCTATTGACATACTGCAGATGAGCAAACACTCTAAAAAATACATCTTGCAGACGTCAAATAGATGTCTCCGTGATGTAAGTGTGCTATCAGGGATGTTCCCACTCTACATTTTTTTCTTTTTCAATAATCCATTAAGCTCAAAGTATATTTTAGTGTACGCTAAAAGCACACGTACATTTCGGAGACATCTATTTGACGTCTGCATTTACATCTTTATGTATTTTTTAGAGTGTTTGCTCATCTGCAGTATGTCTATGAGACGTTTCCTATCAGATGTCAAACAGACGTTTAGAAGATGTCTTTAAGATGTTTATGATTTAGAATGCATGTAAAACTGACATCTTAAAGACATCTATTAGATGTTTGAACACAGCAGATGCTTTCCAGATGAAGCTATCTTTAACAGACATCTTGCAGACGTGCGTGTGCGTTCTGGGTAGGTTATGCAAACAGTGTGCGTGAGGTAACTTTAATTATCAGCGTAGCCAGATTTTCCAACCGCTTGTACTCTTGTTGCGTTCAGGTCCTCCTGGGAAGTTTGTATTTATGAGTTAATGGCATAAAAGTTGTTACCATGTCAGGCGAGTTCAAGTCACTTTGGTCGGAGAAAGATGGCAATGTACATAAAATTCAGCACGATAACTCTACTTCTAAAACATTATGAATAAAAACGGGCTTAGAGTGTGCTTTGCTTTATGTTTTAAGCTTATTTTATTGTAATATTGTATTGTAATATATGTCCTATCATAATTATACAATACAATGGTATTTTGTACATGCAACTTAGTTTTGTTGTAAATGAAGAAAAAATATAAAATTTCATTAATTTTAACAATATACCAACACAATTTCCCAACTCTGGGCTTAAAGAAATTTGCGAGTATCCCACTGGACACTTTAACAAGGCAGCGCCGTTGAAAAGTGACACATGCATGTATATGAAGAGTTGTTTGATTTTTTTTCTCTCTTTTTTCCTAGAGGGGAAGCTGATGTGTGAAGTCTGCACCGTTTGCAGTTCATGCATTTCCTCTGTGATGTTGAGTATTGTGTTTATGGCTGCAGTCGTTTTGGTTTTAGCATATGCATTAACAAAATATAGAGGTAACAAGCATACCTTGTAATCACCTTTACAATACAACTTTTACATGACTCATGTTGTGTTTATGAACTGTAATTGATGTTTTCTAGACAGAATTATTGCTGCCTGCCCTGAAGGCCTCCTCAAATTCATCCAGAATAGGTAACATCACACCACAGACATCAGAGATGTAATGGACTCAGTTTACTGCAGTACTTGTCCTGGATGTTTGCTTTTTTGAAGCACCACCAGTTTCAGTCCAGGCTCCCGTGGTGTTCAAGGCAGAGATGGGCACTCGAGTTAGTGACTCGAACTCGAGTCGCATTTTTATAGACTTCAGACTTGACTTCAGACTCGACCTGAAATGACTCCAGACTTGACTGGACTCGAGGAAAGGGACTCGTGAAAATGTTAAAAGCAACTCGAGTCTTTTATCCTTAAATACTTATATAACTGATATTCAAAAGGCGGACTGCATCCTCACCCTGGCATCCATCCGGACCGCGAGCCATAGCACCATTTTAAGTGAACGCTTGTTAAAATTGTTGTTAGATGGCTAGGATGGAACTTAAACATTGAAATTGCTAGTTATCTTTTCTGCTCAAGATGAGAACGTTTTGATTATTGTCAATGTCAGCTACATTGTTTTTAGATAATGCTTTTAAGTCAACCCGATATCATGAAAGTGCGTATAAATAGTACGTCAAATAAAAACGAAAACTCATGTTATTGATATACAAAAATGGACTTTGGCTTGTATATGCTACGCGATGGGTAGGATTAGGGTTGTGGTGTAGATGCATATCATATGCACAAATTTCGTATCATATGCACGCGAAAACGGCGTATTATATGCACGCCAAACACGTTCGTATCATATGCACGCCAAAGTCCATTTTTTCGTATCAATACCACGAGTTTTCGTTTTTATTTGGCGTACTATTTATACGCATTTTCATGAGACCGGGCTCTTTTAAGTAGGCTAAAATATTAAAATAGTATAGATTTCAGGAGGAAACCCCTGAACAGAAACAGTATTTTTTTTTTCTGTCACATGGCCTCGCATGTACCTAAATGTAAAAATGCAATGTAAAAAGTTTTTTTTTTTCTTTTCTTTTTTTTGTTCGGACCTCTGCTTGGAAGAAAATATAGAGGCCACGCCTAGGAACTTTAATTGAATAGCCCTGACTTATATAATAAAGAAATACTTTATTTGTATGGTTTTGTAATATCTGTGTCACATATTTCCTTGTGTGTAATGTTTCAATACATGAGGATTCTGAATGAGCTTTTTTTTAGCAAGCCATTAAATGACTTGAGACTCGACTCGGACTCGTGACCAAAGACTTCAGACTTGACTCGGACTCCAAGTTAAAGACTTGTGAACATCTCTGGTTCAAGGGAAAGGAGACGCGGCATAAGAAGAAAAAAACTTATTTTGCAACCGTTACCTTATGGAAGGGAATGTCTAGTGCTATGTTTGACAGTTATTGTTGACTTTTTTTTTTCTTTTCATTTTAAAGCAAATAATGTGCGCAGGTTGTGACTGTTGGTTTGCCCTCATTGGATCCGGTTTATGAAATGTGTCATCAGTCACGTGTAAATGATGGTTTCTGGTACTTTAGGCAACCCTTTCAAAGATACAAAAAATGGATGTTGTCTTCAAAATCCATTTGCCTCAAAGATCTAAAGGCTTGTGCTCCTTCAGTTTGAACGGGCATGATGCTTCTGGTACTAATGGCCTTTAAATCTTGACTCAACATGGCAGCTTTTTTATTTAACAAATTGTCTATAGCTTCTTTGTTCAAAAATATGTGTGAAATAATTTTCCTATGTAATTTCGGGTTGTTATGATGAATTGTTAGCAGTATGTGTGTGTCACGCTATTCTGTTTCTGTCTCATCAATGGGAAGTGGTCAACTTATGCACACATGACCTCTATTTCTGCAGAACTGTATATGAGTAAATACTTCATAAATGGGTTCCATTAAAGGACATTCCACTGAATCATTTTCACACTTGTCCAGACTGCCCAGTGACTTTATTTCAGAATTATTTCAAAGTTTTATTTACATTGTGCTTTTCTTTGGCTCATTCACAGAAAGAACATAAGACAAATCAGAACAATACATTTAAACAAACAAAATACAAGGGAATATCAGAGTAACATATATATATATATAAAGGCTACGGTTCTATGTATCCGAGGACCGGAGAAGAAAGTCTTAAGGTGATGATACACGGTAATTTTTTAAACGATGTGGCTTGGGAACTTTCCCATTGAAAATGGCCAACAAATTTCTATCTGGATACTTTAGATCGGTCGTGCGCCCTGTGTCTCACCTGGTTGCCCATTGATGGCAAAAAGTTGCCCCGCGTATCATCACCTTTAGCCTAGCATTTGTCGTTGTAAATAGCCTTAAACAGTTTGTGCATAGCACTTTACCTTTTATAACATGATATTTCAGCCAAATGACAGACAAACCTAAGTGCTCCCAAGTTTAAGAACATTTAATGCAATGCACTTTCTGTCTCAGATGTTTCTGTTCTAATGATGGACAAAACACACAGATGTTTGACATTCGCTGGTGACAAACCTTTTAACCTTTTAAATCTTTTTAACAAGCAGAAAGATACAGCATCTTGATAGTCTCACTATGACTTTTACCTACTACAGTATTTCAAAGGACAAAAACACGAACTGTAAAACTATTGGCTTTACATCATCAGGTCTGTTACTGACCTGTTACTGATAGCTGTTACTGTATTTTGGCACGAGGCCCACACTGTAAAAAAAAAAAAATCCGTAAAATTTACGGTAAAAAAACGGCAGCTCTGTTTGCCGGAATTTTACCGTAAAAAATACGGTAGCAACGTTTTAGGTTTTACGGTTTTAACTTAAATTTACAGTTAAATACCGTAATTTCATTAACTGATATAATGTTAATATACCAACCTATTGAAGTACTGAAATCTGTTTAGTACCTTTGTAATACACTAATAACCACCAAAAGCAGGTGGTGATGAGAAAGTCACATGATGAAACAAAGCCCATCACAAGCAGCTTTTAAATAATAACACGTATAGAAGGTGCACAGTGTCATTCACACAAACACCAAACACCATCATGGTGACACACGATACATAATGCAATAAACATTCATTTAACAACATTAGGTGTAACACACAACCCTAATATACAAAACTGATAAGAAAAAACTAAGAAGAAACATAGTTATTTCAACAAAAAAACATCAAATTTGAAATGTAACGCAGGGAATTCTGGGAATGTCAATTTACGGTTAATCACTGTAAATTGTACGGTCTTTTCCACTTCCAAAAACGGTATACTACCGTAAAATTTATGTCCAATACATGCAATGTCCAATACAGTTTTTCACCGTATATAGTAGGGGAATTTACCGTTAACCATTTAACAGGTTTTTACTGTAGCATTTTTACAGTCTTTTACCGTTAAATTCACGGTCATTTTTTACAGTGCACGGGGAGCAGCCCTCGTGATGAGTCTCGAAATATCAAGACCATATATTGTACTTGTGAATATCACCTATAAACACAGCAAAAATAAATATATAAAGTCTTACTACACGAAAAGTTAAACTGAGGCGCGATTTCACCCATCGAATCGTAATTGGCCAACAGCAGCTTTTTAACCTCAGTCTCAAGAGCGAAGCATTTGAGTCGCGCACAGACTAAAAATCTGAGCAAGTAGGGATAACTGCAGGCTGGAGCAGTGGGCGTGGCTAAATATTAGGGTGTGGCGAAATGTAGGGGGCGTGGCTAAAGATTAGGGTGTGGCTAAATGTAGGAGGCGTGTCTAAAGATTAAGGTGTGTCGAAAGGTAGGGGACGTGACAAAAGTTATTTCTAATTTGCTAGGGTTATGGGTAGGGTTAGGGGTTAGTTTCTGTTGTAGCATTCGCCTTTTGCCACGGCCATCACTCCGACCTGCAGCTACCCCTGTCTCAATCTGACGGTAGCAGATCCTCCGGAGGACAGTGACTGGATCTAAACACACAGCTCATATCTGCGTCTCTGTAAGTTAGCAAAACCACACATGAAAACCAGTAACACGCGTGTAAACCGTGTCAGACAACTAATCGTCCAATATGGTTCTGTTCACACATCACACAGCATTTTTTTCTTATTTTTTTGGTCAACACTGCAGTTAAAATGCTGTTTGTCACTCCTGTAAATAATGTGTTTGAACTTAAATACAGGACTGACAGCTCTATTATGGTGATAAGCGTGGCCTTCAGGTTAGCACCATATTTAGTTTTTGACAGGAATTAAAAACGAGGCTGTGACGGATAGAAGTGCCTTCAATGGATTATACTGTTATAACACAGTGGTTCCCAACCCTGGTCCTGGAGGCACCCCAACACTGCACATTTTGCATGTCTCCTTAATCAAACACACCTGATTCAGGTCATCAGCTCATTAGTAGAGACTCCAAGACCTGAAATTGGTGTGTCTGAGAAAGGAGACATGCAAAATGTGCAGTGTTGGGGTGCCTCCAGGACCAGGGTTGGGAACCACTGTGTTATAAGATGATAAAAAGATAAGCGTAAACTGCAAGGGAACAGTGGAACGAGCACACACGCTTGCTCTGTACGCTGTTTAGTGGGAAACTAAAGGGGAACATATGCCTTGTCCAAATACCCACACTTGCGGTCTTGGCCACTTGAGAGTGCGTGCGCTAGGGGTTGCACAGACTAATCACTAGTCGACTTCAATGCTCTGCCATGACGCTTTAAGCTTGACGTCGCCTATAGAGGGCGCAACAGGATAAGAAATCTTTGAAGGACTTCCACATTTACGCTCCGTTTCCTAACAGTTCAAATGACAAATAAATGCATACTCTGAAAGCGCTCCACAAGACATGTGTGATTATATTACTGGATGCTCGAAATTGAACGGGAGAATGCACGTTTTAAACAGCTTATTGTACAGGTAAGTTAATCGCCGTTCTAATCTAATGTGCTGCTGCACTGTAACGCACACACATAGGCTACAGACAGTAGCTCGTACATGACGCGAACAGAATCATTCAGTGCGGAAATGTATTGTCAACACTGTTCTGTGATTTCTCAATAAAATAGCTTAGAAACTGAAAAGTTCAAGCATATATTTCTTAATAACTAGTAAATTCCACAGCTTCACTACTAGTAGAGAGACGCTGCCAGGTAGAATTAATTCACACACGCAATCGCTCTCACTAATGCATTCATATGAATGTAATCTTTACTGTGCTACTTTATCTGTATCTGATTTAGAATGAGCAGAAATCTGTGAGAAATATAATGACCCAAAGACAAAAGAACTGATAAAAAAGCTGTTATAGGAGCAACAGCCATGTGGGCAGCGCTGTGTCATATGCCATAGCTGTGCACAAGGTGTTTATCACAGCTCCAGACTTATTTGTTCATTAATGACGTCATCAGCGACTAGTCGACTTCGACTCGACTTTCATCACATAAAAGTCGACTTCAAAAAATCATAAGTCGTTCAACCCCTAGCGTGCGCGCGACAGGAAGTAAGTGCACAAGACTGTCCCAGGTCTTAAAAATGCCGAAATGCCGCAGTGCTCTTAACGCACACTAAATCCACACTGCTCCGGAGTGGTGTTCGAGGCTTAGTGTATCCCATCATGCATCATGTTCTGGAAATAAATCGTGAGACTTTTTGCCGAGATCTCGCGAGAGGTCACGGAAACCTTTCCAATGTTAAATATTAATAATAATTAGATATTACATATAATTTGGTAGAGTTGCACATTTTATTGGTGCAAATGAGTAGTGGTGATATTTATTTCGTATAACATTTGCAACTGCTTTTTATCACTTAATTAGAAGCACCACATAATTAAATTGTGTCATCTGTTATAGGGACTACTGAACAGACATTTAGAAGTTGATTTTAAAATGCAAAGTACTGAAAATAAAAATAAAGCTCTGTAAACACTTGCACTTTTACAACACCATAAGTGTCCTATCAGGTAATGAAAAGTTCGACACACACTTGTGGTCTTTGCGCTTGACCACTTGAACACTTATACGACGTATTTCCTGTATTTGGTCTAAGTGTTCAAGTGGTCAAGCGCAAAGACCACAAGTGTGGGTATTTGGACAAGGCAATAGGGGGAACAGACAACACCGGTAATGCGCTCTCTGTGTGCATGCAGAATGAGATTACCGGTATGAGATTACCGTAAAACGTCTACTCTGGGCCAATCAAGACATTCTGACACAGATGACACATTTACGGAAGTCAAATAAATATCTAAAGTAGTCTAATATGATGTCTCTGGGCCAAAATCAGCTGCATGAATGTGAACGTTTGACACAAAAATGAAAACATCAACAATTGACAAAAACTGACTGCGTTTACCTTTCCATGTTTACAGACACAACACCGGGACGCGCAGCCGTTTAGAGCTCGTTTCCCGTTAATGATGTCACAGAATTTACCGGTATTTTGAAACTGATGTGTGAACGGTGCTTTACCGGTAAAAAGAGGGGACGTCGTTGCCTGTGTGAACATCGCATTTTTGTATTTACCGGTAAAGTCGTTCTGGTAATTTTACAGCAATTTACTGGTTTTACTGTGTGAAAGGGGTTAATGCTGAGATAAGTTTTAAGGAAGTAGGTGGCGGGTCAAGCGTCAGGCTGATAATTTAGATGTATTACTCATCTCAGATGGATGGGTGGCAACGGCTTGAGAAAGAGAAATAATGGTGCTGACTGAGCAGTGATATTATTTTGAGCTATTAAGTGACCAATCAGTAAATGCCTGAGAGTGTAAATGTAAAAAGGAGAAATTACTTTGATTCTACATTCTGCAATCTGAGAGCAGCTGACTGATAGCAAAGGCTACATACTCCTACACAGACAGAATACGTATACATGATGATATGAATCTTCCTCCCGAACTGAGGACACAGGAAGCGTTTAATTGGATCAATTACAATATTACAGCTGTGGACATGCTAAACGTGTTTAAATACCATAAAAACATGCAGAAACAATACATGCTTATTCTCGTTATGTTGCAGATTCGCTAGAATCGTAGAACAGACAACTGTGTGATGGTATGATGTTAAGGAAAAAAAACTACTTCCAAACTTAAGTACTACAGTCGTGTCAAAGAGTCATTCACACAGACGTCTCGAGGTTAGATGATTTCAATCATCGCTTGGGCCGTTGTGTCTTTGGTCTCAATATTATTGCGTTACTTTTGATTTTAATGCATATCAACAAGTTAAACTAACCAATTTTTAAATATTTATCATATACAGAAAAGTGTGTAGAAAAATACATGCATTACCTTTCAAAAGTTTGGATTCAACAATGATTTTAAAAGAAATGGTAAGAGTTTTGTTCAGCAAGGATGCATTAAATTGATCAAAAGTGACAGTAAAGACATTTATAATGTTGCAGAAGATTTCTATTTCAAATAAATGCTGTTATTTTGAACATTCTATCAAATAATCATGAAAAATAAAATGTATCACAGTTTCCACAAAAATATGAACTGTTTTCAACATTGATAATAATCAGAAATGTTCTTTGAGCAGCAAATCAGCATATTAGAATGATTTCTGAAGATCATGTGACACTGAAGACTGGAGTAATGATGCTGAAAATACAGCTTTGATCACAGAAATAAATGACATTTTAACAGAGATTCACATAGAAAACAGTTATTTGAAATTGTAAAAATATTTCGCAGTTTTTACTGTATTTCTGATCAAATAAATGCAGCCTTGATGAGCATAAAATACTTTTTTCAAAAAGAATCTTACTGAGCCCAATTAGATTTTTGAATGATAGTGTGCATAATGTAATATTGTGCTGCATTGTGAATTCTGCCCAAAAAATAATAATAATAATACAAAAAAAAAAGTCATAAAAAAGTGTTCCAATGTGATGCATTGAATACACAGTGCATTTAATGCAAGAGTTCAAAGGTCAACCGATGCAGCCAACAATACATATGGGAGGCTGGTTAACTCAATCCAGAGATAAGATGACAAAACAATACATGAACCGTCTGTCTGTCTCACACTCACAGGACTTCCTGGTAAGGGGAGGAAGTGCTGGCGCTGACCGCAGGGTGACGCTGATAGTTGATTTTGTCATACAGGGTTTGAGGCTGCAGGGGGAGTAAGTGTGTCACGTTACCACAGGTTCCAGAGAAACGCTTCACAACAGAGCCGTCAACTTCTCCAAACATGCAACAAAGCTGTTCTTAGTCTCACTGATTCACTGTACATATGTGACTCTGGAGCACAAAAGCAGTCTTAAGTCGCTGGGGTATATTTGTAGCAATAGCCAAATGGAAAGCTTATTTATTCAGCTTTCAGATGATGTTTAAATCTCAATTTCGAAAAATTGACACTTAAGACACTTAAGGTTTTGTGGTCCAGGGTCACATATACGCTGACTGACTGCCATATTCATTTAGCCTACTGTGGTATGATGTGTGTGTGATTTTGGTAGTAAATACATGATATGAGCCTAATTTATAAGCAAACAAATGCATGACAGCAATAATGGATGTATTTATGATGTATGCATGCAATACTCACCAAGTTTTGTGAGAGTTTTATGTCATCCACCGTTTCATAAATGGACATCCCGTTTGGAACACTTTCAGATCGTTTCTGTAATATAGATTAAATCTGGTTAGCTAGAAGTTTATCACCATTTCTATGCACAGATTAGGTTTGTATGCATCTACAATAAAGTTCGTGTGTGTCTAGGAAGTGGTGTCGTACGCTGAAAAAAAAAAGGTATACACTTTTTATTTATTTATTGTAAAAAATATATTATTGGAGTATGTTTTACATGAAAATATTATTGCAGTCTTTCTAGTTTAAAATTTAATGTTTAATTCAAGTATTTGTGTGAAATTTGCTAGTACTTTCTGAGTGAAAATTTTCACCACCAATTTTTTTTGGTGCTAGTAAATTTCACAAATAATTACAAAGAAACGGCAAGCAACACATTGCATAAACCATGACATTTTGAAGTAGAAAGATAGAAATAGTATTTTCTTGTAAAACTTACTCCAATAATCTTTATTTTCATTACAGCTTCAAAAATGTATTTGCAATCTTTTTGCAGAGCCACGGGAACCTTAAAAAGCGGATATCCATATAGACAGAAACGAGCCGCTCACCTTTGCTGTGTTCACGTCTTCATAGACTGTAATACCAGCTTCACTTTCTCCTTGTCCTGAAAGTGTGAAAACAGCTGTGAGGTTGAGAATGAAATGCTGTAGAACTTCTGTACTCTTTGTGCACATTCACACTTGTTCAACACACCTTTATTCTTCCTCCACCTGCAGCACACAGCGACTGTTCCACTGAATATAATGACTGCGACGATACCGACGCCTACCGCGATCAGCAAATACTCCTGACGAAATCCTGCATCATTGCACCAAGTTGCATATTTGTTTATAGATTTCAGAGTAGGCTATAACATTTCTTAATCAGTAGAGAATTTAAGAAATTCGATATTTGATTGCAGAACTATACCTGATGTAGTTGAATTGTCAGATTTCTCTGTGCACACTACAGTCTCAGTGGTATACTTGACGCTGACGGTGTTGCTGGCTGTGCAGTTGAGTATAGCGTTCTCTGCTAAACCGAGGCTGATATTCAGCTGTGATCCTTGAGTCTGATGACTGATCCAGCTGTAGGAGGGATTCGGATCTCCAGACGCCAGACACCGGAGATGAAACATGCAGATGTTTTTTGATTGCAGCCAGAAATAATTGTACTCAATCTTTACCTCTCTGATGAGCTCTGTTGGAAAATAATATGCCAACGATAATTATATAAGCATACTAATTCCTTCATTAAACAACTATTTAACTTCAGTGAAATGACCACAAACATATTCAGTGTCAGTTCTTAAATGTGTTGTTTTAGAATTTGTTATTTGCATCCTAACAGCATTGACAGAAGAAATATCAAACAATTAAACTCACCATGAACATGAAGTACAAAGCCTTTTGTGTCATATTGTTCAGATTTTCCTACTGCAACAATAAAGAATCTTCCAGAATCCTGCAGTTTAAGGTCTGTTACTGTTACACTAATAGTGTCCTTATTCATCTTTAACCTGTCATTAAATGATTCAGATTTCACCTTTTGGAAATTATCATTTTGATACTCAGCAAATATAATCAGATTATATTTCCACTGCACTTCAAGATCTTTTTTTGGATAATCAGCGATTAATTCCAGTGAGTCTCCAACAGCTTTGTGCACCTCAACATCTGGATCCGCACATGACCCTACAATACAGAACAGACAACAAAAATTGGTTACATACTGTCACAAATTCATGCCATATTTTTTTTCACATTCAACAAAAGATAATGTGTGTCTATCAACACATTTAATTAAATACCAGTTTGACAACAGCGTCAACAAAACCCATGAGCAAAAAAAGAACAGAAAGTTGACGGATAATAAACTATAAATGAAGTTTAATGTTTGCTATCAGCACAGACCATCTCACACGAGCAAACAGACAGTGCAAATCTACACTTATTTACCAATTTGCCACCTATATCTTACAGCTAAAGGAAGCCTCAAGATCTCTCAGTTTGTTTACACTCCAATTGATGCACGTGACAAAACAGAAAACGCTACTACTTTTACTCTGCCTGCCCCAGATGATACTTCACCTGTCAGATCTGGGCGCAGTGTGACCGAGCTTACGCCTCGGGTTCGCCTAAACACTTTTCAAATAATAAAACAAAGAAAGCGAAACTCAGGTATTATATGAACGATGTACTTTTTATTCTTCTTAACTCCAAAGAAACTCACATGGCACAACTGGGCGCTCTCGTTTTAACATGAGCGTGCCCAAACCTTGCCTACAGCAAGCCCTGAGGGACAGAAAAGCAATACACACACAAACACAACCCTACAGCCTTAACATCAACTTCAAAATGTATGTTACATACGTCCCATCCCCCTAAAATAAACGTCCTCGTTTATCTTTCAAACAGTAAAGGATAGAACAGGTAACAAAATAATAATACACATTAACATGCATAATACCTTAACCTGCATCTAACACTGAAACAATTTGTACCATCTAAAACACTAGTACAATTTACTTAAACAGTCGTCATTTTGTCCAATCCTTTTTTTATATATATCTATGTTAACGTGTTCATTAGTACAGTATGAAATCCTTCAAGCAACCAGGGGGTTTCAACCTCCTCCCAGCCCTACTCACACCAGGTATGCACTTATCAGGTCCCTCCAGTGTCTCACTTAAATCCTTTTGAGGTTTACTGCGCTGCAACCCCCCCAACATGTCAGACTCTTTAGAAGGGGAATCAGGCAAAGAATGAGGAACCATAGATAGTCTCTCATCAGATGACAGTGTGGGAACCGGCAATGTATAAGGTCTCAACCTATTGTAATGCACAACCTGTCCTTGTCCATCTGAGTCCATAGGGCTAACGATCCGGTATGTCAGTCCTGGCTCACCACCAGAGTCAAAGATTTGTGCAATCTTAAAAGGTCCCTTCCAGTGGGGCGCCAGCTTCATGCGGCTCTCCACTGGATTATGGAGCCACACCATGGCACCGACTGCATAGGGCTGGTGTCGGAGGCCTGAATCATGATACAGTTTCTGGCGATCATGAGCCATTTCACTGTACATTCTAGCACTCCTGAAAGCATCCTGTAGATTTGCAAGCAAAGTGGACACGAATGCAGCATGAGATGTTGAAATGTTCTGGTCAAGTGTAACAAAATAATAATACACATTAACATGCATAATACCTTAACCTGCATCTAACACTGAAACAATTTGTACCATCTAAAACACTAGTACAATTTACTTAAACAGTCGTCATTTTGTCCAATCCTTTTTTTATATATATCTATGTTAACGTGTTCATTAGTACAGTATGAAATCCTTCAAGCAACCAGGGGGTTTCAACCTCCTCCCAGCCCTACTCACACCAGGTATGCACTTATCAGGTCCCTCCAGTGCCTCACTTAAATCCTTTTGAGGTTCACTGTGCTGCAACCCTCCTAACATGTCAGACTCTTTAGAAGGGGAATCAGGCAAAGAATGAGGAACCATAGATAGTCTCTCATCAGATGACAGTGTGGGAACCGGCAATGTATAAGGTCTCAACCTATTGTAATGCACAACCTGTCCTTGTCCATCTGAGTCCATAGGGCTAACGATCCGGTATGTCAGTCCTGGCTCACCACCAGAGTCAAAGATTTGTGCAATCTTAAAAGGTCCCTTCCAGTGGGGCGCCAGCTTCATGCGGCTCTCCACTGGATTATGGAGCCACACCATGGCACCGACTGCATAGGGCTGGTGTCGGAGGCCTGAATCATGATACAGTTTCTGGCGATCATGAGCCATTTCACTGTACATTCTAGCACTCCTGAAAGCATCCTGTAGATTTGCAAGCAAAGTGGACACGAATGCAGCATGAGATGTTGAAATGTTCTGGTCAAGTATATGCGTGTCTAGTAACAAGTCAGTGGGCATCCTTGGTTCTCGTCCATGAACTAGAAAGTAAGGTGAAAACTTGGTGCTAGAATGAGGTGAAGAATTGTACGCAAATGCCACCGGTTTGATATAATTGTCCCACTCACCCCCACATGACAACAGTATCTTAGCCATCTGATCAGTCAATGTTCTGTTAAAACGTTCCACCATGCCGTCGGACGCTGGGTGGTAGGGAGTGGTGCGCGTTTTCTTTATATTCAGCAAACGACAGAGAGTCGAGACCACCTCTGATTCAAACTGGCGGCCCTGATCTCTCACTTAAATCCTTTTGAGGTTTACTGCGCTGCAACCCCCCCAACATGTCAGACTCTTTAGAAGGGGAATCAGGCAAAGAATGAGGAACCATAGATAGTCTCTCATCAGATGACAGTGTGGGAACAGGCAATGTATAAGGTCTCAACCTATTGTAATGCATGACAGAGAGTCGAGAGCACCTCTGATTCAAACCGGCGGCCCCGATCAGAGTGCAAAGATTCAGGAATGCAGTGTATCAAAATGTAGTCCTCAAACAAGCAGTGAGCGACAGTCTGTGCAGATTGGTTAGGCAGGGCATACAGGTTAACAAACTTTGTGAAATAATCCTCATACATAACGATTTCCTTCGGTTGTTATTGGTAGTTCCAAAATGTCCATTGCAACTCTCTCAAAGGGTCGCGTTGTCAGGGACCCACCCATCGGTGCTTGATGATTTGGGACCGGCTTACGACGAGTTTGACACCCTGTGCATTGCTCGCACCACATCTTAATGTCCTTAAACATAGACGGCTAGTAGCAAAAACGCCTCGCCCGTTCCCACACTCATTCTGGAGAAAAATGAGCAGCAGTTGGGGCCCCGTGGAGCTGCAAAAGTATGTCATGTTTAAGAGCAGGAGGAACTACAACCTGAGTAACAGGGTCACCTGCTGGAGGACAGGAAACTGAGCGACACAACAGTCTATTTATTATGGAAAGATGATTAAACTCAGTCCAATATTTACTTAAATTTTGAGATGTGCCTGTCAGCTGTCTCCTAGGAGGCCTTCGTGATTGCTCTACCCAGTGCTGCACCGTGTCAATGTCTCGATCATTCTGCTGCATAGTAACAACGTCCGCTACATTGTATGACAAATCAAACATGCTCAAAATGTTGTCTGGACTTAAGGACAAGTTGGATACAGCCTCTTTTTCAGGCCCCTCAGTGGTTTCAGTAGAACAAGACATGTCATTATCCGATTGGTCAGTATTCACCACATTCACTGCCGTCTCACTGTCCTTCATGTCTGGTGTCACCGGGCGGCGGGACAGTGCATCAGCATTTTTATATTGATTGCCCTCTTTGTGCAGAATGACCCAATTCAGCAGGTCCAATTCCAAAAGCCATCTAGCCCTTCTGCCCGTTGGGTCATCCTCAAGGGACATACGTCGTAGTGCTAGAAGTGGGCGATGATCTCTAATGATAGTACATGAAGAAAGTCCAAGATAGTGTCTGAATTCTCTCACTGCCCACACGATAGCCCATAACTCCCAGTCAAAAGTAGACCAACGTCACTGTGTGACATTCAAGGCGCGGCTGGCATACGCTACTACGTGCTCTAGTCCATCTTTTTCCTGTGCAAGTACAGCACCCACAGCCCACTTGGAGGCATCCGTATAAACTTTGAAATGCACTTTGAAATCAGGCAGTGTCACGATGGGAGCTGAAGACAGCGCTTCCTTCAAGTAGTTAAATGCATTGTCACAATCGGTATTCCATACAAAAGGCACATTTTTGTCCACCAGCTGATTCAGCTGGGCTGCATGTTTTGAAAAGTCCTTTACAAAGCATCGATAGTATGAACACAGTCCCGCAAATGCTCTAAACTCCGAGGGAGACTGTGGAACTGGCCAATTTCGAACCTTCTCCGTGTTTCTCGGGTCAGGCTGGAGACCTTTCTCTGAAACAACATGGCCCAGGAATATCACGTGACCCCTAGCCAAGTTGCATTTTCTGGGGTTCAGTTTAAAACCTGCCGAACATATTCTGGAAAACACTTCTTTCAGATGAGTTAAATGCTTGTCAAATGTTGGACTATAAATCAAAATATCGTCCAGGTACACCATGCAAATGTGCAATGGGAGCCCTCTCAGAACTAACTCCATCATCTGCTGAAAAGTGGCGGGGGGAGTTAGAAAGCCCCAACGGCATGCAGCGCCACTGATATAGACCCTGACCTGTAGTAAAAGCTATCTTGCTCGGCCACCTCTACCTGCCAGTATCCATTAGAAAAATCCAACGTGCTGAACCATCTGGAGCCCGCTAATGCATCCAGTGTGTCATCCACACGTGGCAGAGGATGAGAGTCCTGGACCGTTATACTGTTCAAGCGTCTATAATCAACGCAGAAGTGCCAGGCACCACATTTCTTTTTTACAAGCACGACTGGAGATGCCCAGCCCAGGCTACAGCTTTCTTCGATGACACCCTCAGCTAGCAGGCCCGCCACCTGTCTCTCTATTTCAGCTCTCTTTTCAGGCTGAATAGGGCTATGTTCCCCAGTCCTGATATGATGCTGCACCAGCGTGCATTTTCCTGTATTTTTCCCTCAGAAATTAAAGATGTCACTGTACTCCTGCAACAGTGCCGCAAGTTTTGCCCTATCAGATGTTGAAATTGGCGATTCACTTAAAGATATTGGAGTAGCTGTGTTTGCGTGGGCTAGGAACAACACCTTCCCCTGCGTCCTGCTGAAAGTAGAGCTGTGAATCTTTGGGTAGACAGAGATTCGATTCACGATACATAGATTTTCGATTCAAGAACGATTTTTGCAAATTTAGAAAGATTAAATTCGATTCGATTCACAATTAAATTAAATTCGATTCGATAAATGATTCGATTCTGAATTCTTTAAGTGCATTCACAGGATTATTTAAATGCTTCCCCTAAATTCTTTAAATGCTTAGTCAGGGGGCAAATTACACAGAAGCCTTTATGGTTACAGAACCATAGGTTAGAGAGCAAACAGAAAGGTTCTTCAGATGTAAAAAATTTTTATGGAACCATTTAGACAAAAAAGTTCTTCTATGGCATCGTGAAGCACCTTTATTTTTAAGAGTGTACGTAAAAATTTATGTAAGCCAAGATTTAAAAAAAGCTTTAAAGTATTATGTATAGGCTAACATTTTGTCACACCAGGGGCGTAGCCATCATTTCAGAAGTGACAGAAATGTCAAATACAATAATTTTATGTATGAGTTCATTCTGCTTTTTATTCAGTTTAGCTGCAGATAGCCTGGCACGTCTTAAAGGAACACTCCACTATTTTTGAAAATAGGCTCATTTTCCAACTCCCCTAGAGTTAAACAGTTGAGTTTTACCGTTTTCGAATCCATTCAGCCGATCTCCGGGTCTGGCGGTAGCACTTTTAGCTGTAGCTTAGCATAGATCATTGAATCTGATTAGACCGTTAGCATCTCGCTCAAAAATGACCAAAGAGTTTCTATATTTTTCCTATTTAAAACTTGACTCTTCTGTAGTTACATCGTGTACTAAGACCGACGGAAAATTAAAAGTTGTGATTTTCTAGGCCGATATACTCTACTATATTCTCATTCCGGCGTAATAATCAAGGAACTTTGCTGCCGTACCATGGGTGCAGCAGGTGCAATGATATTATGCAGCGCCTGAACATAGTCCCCTGCATGCTCCCTGTGCAAGCAGGTGGTCACGTTGGTTATGTTGACGGAAGTTAGCCGATGAATGGATTCGAAAACGGTAAAACTCAACTGTTTAACTCTAGGGGAGTTGGAAAATGAGCCTATTTTCAAAAATAGTGGAGTGTTCCTTTAAGTTCTATGAGCGCGAGATCAATTCTCTTCATGGCGAAAACTTCTTTATCTCATTTTCATAAAATAAAATGCTATAGTATTTGACTTTTCCTCTCCATCGGCGAATGATGATTCTGAAAGAAAATGTGCCGATGTCGGTTTGCTATAGCAACGAACGCTACTTCTATGCATCTGATTATCAGATAAACATCGCGCTCTTAATTCAAGGTTGTTGTTAATGCTGTGCTTATTTTAACAGTTTCCTTCGTACATTCGGTTGAAAGACATGGTTAAAACACATTTATCATTCAATGGAACTGTGCGTATGCTTTAGACACTTACATTTTTGCTCTGTCCATGCAATAAATGCGCAGCCTTCGACTGCTCAGGTAATGTCGTCGGTATGACGAGAGCCATTGAAAAACTACAGAAAAGTCAAACTACTTCACTTTAGCATTACTGGCCACGAGTCATAAGGAGAGATCACACATCAGCTGCTCAAAAAATGTGTCAGTGAGACGAACGGTGCGTGAGTGCAATCCTGTGACAGTCACAGGCGGTAAATAGTGGAGCGCATGAAGGAGAGATGCGAGGGCACGAACACTGTTCAAGGTCTCCGTTAACTCGTGCTTGTAGTAATTTAATGTGTATAAATTTTGAAAGCATTGAATCGCTATAGAAATTGTGATTCATTTGATTCTTAGCGTTTTAAATCGATTACTGTCCGAAATCGGCGATTCACGATTAAAAAAATCATGTTTCAAGATCGATGCATATATGCATCGTCAGGGTTTGTAATCGATGCATCGATAAAACGAGTGAATCGTTACACCCCTAGCTGAAAGGGATGAAATATCAGAATCAGCTACAGAATAAAACTCATCCAGGTGAGTCCCCTGTTTTATAGGAATGTCCCGTCCAGTGTAGGGTTCAAAATTCGCACTTTAGTCAGTCCGTTGTGCACATTAGTGAGTGTGTGTGCCACAACTAGACCGGCAAACTCCGACACATTAGGTTCCAAATACCCCATAAAGTCATTAGACAACTGGGCCGCACAAGGCAAACCAATCTTAACTGGC